AATTTGTGTCTTCTAGGTTGCAACACCCCCATGATACATCTTCAAGGATATGAACATGTACGGCCAAGCACAATCAATAAGAGTGCATCTAAATTCCAAAATCAATCTCCATAATAGTCTATGTGTTTCCTACTGCCAAAGGGGCCCTTTAGAGTAGTGAGAGAAGATCTTCACCCTGAAACCCACAGCGTCCCTTTTCAGCAGGAAGTAGCTAAGAGAATACGCCATCCCCTTTTCCTTATGACTCAGGGTGAAGTCTCTCTCAGGGAGGAGTGATAGGGAATGGCAAAGGACACACTGACAAAGAAGATTAATCAGAACTGGCTTTGACAAGCACTGTGGCATTTGGACAAGAACAAACTGGGAGGAGGGTAGAGAGAATAGTGCAACAATGAATGAATGGAAACCCAAAATCTCTGTAAATGTTTATGAAAATTAATAAAATATAGAAAAAAAATGTACTGGGTCATGGACTCTAAAGCGTTGAAAAGCAAAGACGGCAGTTTAAAGACTAAGGTGTGTCTAATCCAAGCTATGGCATTTTTCAAATGCTTCATATGCATCTGAAGTCGGAAAGAATGAACAAGGAAGAGGGAAGAATCATTGCCTTTAAATTGTGCATTAGAGTACTGCCTGTATCTCAGGGACCCAAAGGAGCGAACATCTCTCTCTCGCAGAAAGTGCGACCACAGTGCTCCTTGGAGGCAAGGGTGGTGACACTTAGTCTCCCATACCTTGCACATGTTGTCAGGAGGGGTAGTCCTTGGAAAAAGAAAACATGTTGGAAAAGGTAAAGAAGTGGCAGCCCCTCAACAGGATGGATTACCACAGTAGCTCAACAGTGAGCTGGAGAACCGCACGGGGTTGGGATGGGGGCAAGGTGTTCATCTCCCAATTCATAAAGCTGCTGAGTGTTGTCAACAGCACCTCCACCAACGTGTGTGCAGCACACAACTGCGCCCTAAGGGTATTCAGTGCTACGACCTTTTCACAGTGTGTTGTTGCTGTTGTCATGGGCCATCAGTCATTCATAACAACACTATGCACAATGGCTCTGAGCCTCGCCCTATGCAGAGCCTGTCTCACTGACTCTGACCACCTAATCCATCTCATCTGGGGTCTTCTCCTGTGCTGTCACTCTACCCTTCCAAGAACTGGACCCTCCTGGACATCTGCCCAAAGAATGTGAGACAGGGTTTCTTTGCCTCCAAGGAGAAACTTGGTTTTGGCCTCTCTAATACAAACCTGTTTTTTTCTCCTGGCAGTTCAAAATATGCTCACTACTCTTCCCCAGCACCATGAAACTCAAAGGCATTGATTGTTCTTCTGTCATCCTTAGCCACTGTCCAGCTCACTGATGTATAGCAAGTAACTGCAAAGACCATGGACTAAAGTAAACATACTTTAGTATCTAGACTGACATCATTACTCTTTAGCACTTTGGAGAGGTCCCTGAAAGCAGATTTTCAAAGCACTTTGCCTTTTGACAGTTCTTTCCATTTTCTTTTTTTAAAATTTTCTACTAGTTTATTTACAAAATACAACTACATTGTTTTTAAGAACAAATTCTTTCAATTTCCCTCACCCCATCCCCATCAAATTGTACAACCCCATTAGAAATCCCCTCCTCCCCCTGAACATCGACATCCCTCTGCTTCCAGCCTCTCCCACCCCTCCTGGATCCTTACACTCATTCTACAGTAATGGTTCTAAGCAATATTTATCCTTATGGGACTGAGTTAGTTCATTCAGCGTAACGCTCTCCAGTCGTCCCAAGTTAGGTAATAATTTACAGAATCATTACTCCTGCGTGTTGCGTGGTATTCCACTGTGTGAATGTACCTCGTCTTTTTATTTTTTGACAGCTGGTGCCAGGAGTGTTGATTGTGGAGCCAAGCAAGCTGAAATTGTTAACAATCTCTTCTCCAACCGTCATGGTGCTTTCAACTGGCCCAGTGGTGAGATTATTTGTCTTCTTCATCATGACCTTCAATCCGTACTGAAGCCTCCAGTCGTAAAGTGTGTGACTAGGCCCTAATTCTGAGGGACCTCTGAGTGAATCTGATGAACTTCTTGGGTAATCCAGTGCTTAAGACCTTTCCATCGCCCAGCACCTCCTCAACAAGTAGTCTTCATATGCCTCGCCTGGACAATAAATTGTTAAGAGAGCACTACACTCAAGGTTATTTCTCCTAGGTTATCATTTTCTTTCAGCCCAATACCACAAAAAATGCCTATATGCTGAAGGCAATGAACAAGTATTTGTTAATTTTGTTGTTATTTAGTAGTGTTTTCTTTAGGAATAAAAATTACAAATCAATAAGCCAATGAAGAGAGAACAAGGAAATTTTAAAGAGGGAAAATTTCATAAACAAAGGAAGTTAACATTTTAAAGAAGGGGAAATAATGAATGAGTAACAAGGTGGCAACAATGGGCAGAGGCACAGCCTCTGAGGTTGACTGAGGGTGTCAGAGGCTCAGGCAGGGCTGCATGCTGCTGTACAGGACTTGCTAGGAGGCAAACTTGAGCACAACAGCCCGCCTTGAAGAAAGGACATCCGAGTTGGCTGTTTGCTGCATCTGATGGCCATCCTGATGAGCACGTGAGAGAAGTCTTCGGGGTATGTCTGATGTGTATTATTGCTCTTTTCCCCTCAAAAGCGGGTGTCCTTGAGCCTTTGCCTAGGGTGGAGGTCTGCTCAAAGGCGTGGCTTTAAAACCCCCCAGGAGTTTAAATTTATTAATGAATGAATATTCCTGAAATGGCACAGCAATCTTTTGTCTATTTGCTGAACTGGACAACTTGATGTTGCTGTGATGCTGCACTCTCTTCCATAGTTTTGTCAGAAACCCTAATTGTTACCCACTATGTACAATGTCTGGATGAGCTTCCAGACTGATTTATGCTGGGAATCAGGAGTGGCATCCACTTCCTAAACTAGATGCCTCTGGAAACTCTAAGAACTCTCTAAACTCTATAAATGTGGAAAGTGGTGTGGCACTTTCTCAAAAAGTTGCAAATAGAGATACCATTTAAACCAGCAATTCCACTACTGGAATGTACCCTAGAGAGACCATAAACGACATCCAAACAGATACATGCACACCCATGTTTATTGCAGCTTTGTTCACAATAACAAGGAGTTGGAAACAACCTAAGTGCCCATCAACAAACGAATGGCTAGAGAAGCTGCGGTTTATTCACACAATGGAATACTATGCTGCATTGAAAAACAAGGAACTCCTGCAATATTATTCAAAATGGGTGAGCCTGGAGGACATTATACTGAGTGAAATATCTCAGTCACAAAAGGACAAATATATAGTGCCACTATTGTAGAATGAGGCTGACATCAGGGTGGGGTTAAGACTGAGAAAAACCGGATCAATTATGTTTACTGCATTGAAGCCAATGAGGGAGAGAATAGTTTAAAATTAATATATTTTAGGGCATTATGATTATCATAAGAGTCTGGAATGAGGGTTGCAGAGTGGAGTATACTTGGGGTAGGGGTGGGGGTGTGCGGGGGTATTGTGTACCAATGAAGGAGTTTTGCTTTTCAAGGAGAGGAGCGAACTGGGAGTGGGGGTGGGGGTTGGGGTGAGGTGAGTGGGGAGAAAAGTGCAACAATGAATGAATGGAATTCCAAAATATCTGTAGATGTTCATTAAAATGAATAATAAAAAGTACTAATAAAAAATATAAATGTACAGAAATGATGGTAGTTATAGAATAGAGTCTTGTACAGAGCTCGGGTCTTTTGTACAAAACTTTCAGTCATAGTCGACTTGATGACACTTAACCACTGCTAAATGAAACTAGTGCTGTTTATATCTGGAAGAACACTCTTCCACTTTGTAAATCACTCTTTGTCAATGTACAGTATAAAGTAACCTGGGCTGCCGTGATGCTGAACCTTGTACCATTGGGGGATCAAATACCAGAATGGTTTCCCAATGTGGACAGTGTTTGGTGGAGCTTCCAGTTGTAAAACAGTTTCGGAAGCAGTAGTAGCATCCACTTCCTAAACCACATGCCTCTGGAACTTTATGAACCTGGAACTGACAATACTTATGGAAAGGCATTAGGACTTACGGTCATAGAGTTGCTATGAGTTGCACTTGACTCAACAGCAATCAACAACAAGAAGTTCAGAAAGAACATTACTCAGACAAACTTAGGATCAGGTCTGCTTGGGAAGAGGTCATAAAGATTTCCTCTGCCTTGCTATGATTCAGTCACAGCTTTTCTGGCAGTTGGGGAGACACATTAAACTCTAGGAAATTTCCCTCCTAAGTCACTTTCTCAGATCTGCTGACTTTGGGTTCTCACCACCATGGATTGTATCATAAATGCCAAATGTAGTATGTTTCCAAGCAGAGCCTAAGTTCCTCTGGCAACTACATGCTGCCTCGAAGATGGTCAGAATTCAATAAATACTGTATCACGATTTCTCAGCTAAAAGCTGCAAGGGAAAATCTAGTTATCAATGGGACCTAATCACTCAGTACACAAACAGAAAAGACAAATCAAACCTAATACTTTTATGTATGTTTAAATATTAAATCATTGACAAAATCTTTCTTAAGTAATGCTTTTCTAATAGTCCATGTTCAGACAACTAAACGTTTTTTTTACCCAAGTTTCTCAACAAAGTCTACACACAGATGGTCTTCTAAGAGGGCTCTAAGGCCTAAATTGCCATTTTTTTAAAAATCTGTTTTCATTTAAGAGTAAGAAAGCATCTGAAACCACTAAGTTCTATTTTCTTACATTCCTATCACTTAGAAACAGCTGAACTGATTTTTCCTTTTAAAAAAAAATTTACTGGCTAGTAATTAAATTCTGAAAATAGAGATTTGCGATGGAAAACTGACTCGAACTCGACCATGGTGTAGCTCTAATAAAAATATGACCTTCGAGTTAGTTATGGAATTGGGCTCACTGTTTAGTGTAAAGAGTATTTAATTTTTTTTTAATCTATTACGATTTTACTCACTTCAAAGCCTCCTCAAATTTTCGAATTTTCTTTTGAGCATCTTCTTTCTCTTTGTCAAGTTCGTCCTCCAAGTCACGAACCTGCCACGAGAAAGGCACGTAAAACGAGCTGAATGGCAAGTCAACTGCACTCACAGGAGAAATACAAGCAGCGAAAATGTTGTCTTAAATGCATTTTGATAGAAAATGAGTTTGAGGCATTTTAAGACAGAGCTTAGGCTAACCGCAACCATTTGCCAGAGAAGCCTTTCAATGTTACCAATTTCCTGCTCACAGCCAGCAGAGTGGTTCTACCAGCAAGTGAATTCTCTGCGAAGAAACCGATGTGTAAGAACTTCAAACAGGGAGCAATCGCTACTGAACAAATGCTTCATTAATACAGCTCAGGAAGACGAGTCTATGAGATCCAAGGCAGTGCAGTAAGTAATGCTTCTGCGGGCACACACGCCCAAACACACTTGAACTATGATAAAACAGTCTTCTCATCGACTGGTAGGAATGAGTCACCAGCCTTTTCCTGAGCTGGGAGAAAGCTTCCCCTTCAGCACTCGTGACGAATATCTTTCCTAAATGAGTCTGTGGGCGCCCTAGTGGAGTAGTGGGTCGTGAGTTCCACTGCAGATCCAGAGGCCCAGCTTCTCCCGAACGCACCACTCCTGGGACGCTCTGCAGGAGAAAGACGAGCCGCTTCCTCCCATGAAGATGGACAGGCTCCCAATCCCAGGGGAGCAGCACTAGGAAACTAAGAGTCAGAACCAGCTTGATGGTATTGGGTAGTGAGTGAACTAAACAAGTAGGTGATGTAGCAGCATCAATACTAGGAGCCAAATGAAACGTTTTCTAGAAAGCTCTTCATAGTGAATGCAGGTAAAGCTACCTGTGAGTATAATTTAGAGATCTTAAAAAAGAAAAGGGAAACTTCGGTATTAATGGAGAGAAAAGGAGACATAAACAGTGGCCACTATTCCACAAACGTGGGAACAGGAAGGAGACACTAACTGAGGATAGAGAAGACTCAGGTGGGGCAGGAATCACACCTGGTTGGCAACCTCAATAAGAGGAAGGGCAACAAGAACAACAAAACACACGCATTGTGACAAAGTGCATCCAATACTAAGCCGTGCCGGCCAAAAGTTACTTCTGGACAGTGAGGTACACAAAAGAGAACAGAAATTATAATCAAACCAAAAGGAAAGAGAACAAACTTCTCATGAGGCTCTCTGAGGAGCTCTGGTGGCCAAGCGGGTAAAGTGGTGTACTGCAAGCCCAGAAGCAGGCAGTCTGAATCCACCAGCGGCATATGGAAAATGAGCAGTCTCCTTCTGTGTGATTTACGGCCTCTGGAAATCCACCGGAGGGTGAGCTATGAGTCGCTTGAACTTGACAGCAATGAGTTGAGGTTGATTAAACCGGAATAAAAGCACTACTAACACGAAAGTACACTTGGACCTAAGAGATAGCCAGCCAGCTAGTCAGGTCAGCTCCAACACACAGTGACTTTGGTACAACAGAAGCAGCTAGTGTCCAGTCTGAGATATCTTCATGGTCACATGGCCAAGTCTGTCACTGCAGCTATTGTGCCATTCCATCTCACAAAGGTCTTCCTACTTTGCCATAGGTGGGCCTCCACGTCACCAACTATGATGCCCTCCTCCAGTCACTGAGCTTTCCTGTGTCCAGGTAAGTGAATGCTCTTAAGGTTCACTCTCCATTAAAAAGACCAGATGCTACTGGAATCTGTCATCCACCTCTTAGTTTATCAGAGGACAGTGGCTCATGTGTTCCTGTGATGCTGCGAACCAAGCTATTGGTATTTTTAAATAATAACTAGGTCCTTCAAGATGGACAGACTTCGGCAGAGCTTCCAGACGAAGACAAACGAGCAGGAAAACACTGACGATCTAGTTTCAAAAATCAGGCACTAAAAACCTCTGGATCACACAGAAGATTGCTCAGCAATGTAAAGATTTTACATGTGTTTTCCTATCAGAAAAATAATTTCTTCAAATACAATCTTAAGGGGAAGAGTAGGGGGTAAGTCACTGAAAAGAAAAGCCAACAAAAAAGGGAAAATAAAATAAAAAGCCCACAGATCTAGTCAAGCTTTAAGGGGCGACCATCTGGGCAAAAAGTTTGCAGGAGAAAGCAGTAACAGCAGAGTTAAAGCTTCGATTGTCATTTTACAATTTTCTGTTAGCATTTACCTATCATTAATAATCTGAGCCTAACTTATAACATTTCTGTGAATTTTAAGTCTCTCTTATAATGTAGCTAGATTTGAATCTTGACCCAAGTTACCTCTGACCAAGTGAGTCAGCATTCTGTCTTCACTACCATTGAGCATCAAATATGTTATTTAATGAACCACGAACCAGAAAGCCGCGGCACGTGAGCCACCGTGCTCCACCAGTGAGCTACATCCCATCTATCTATGGTCAACTCTGATCTTTGACAAGGAGATGAAATCAGTGAAGTGGGGGAATGACAGCCTTTTTAACAAATGGTGTTGGCAAAATTGGAAAAATATCTGCAAAAGACTCAAGCAAGACCCACACCTCACTCCATACACAAAAACCAACTCAAGGTGGATCATGGACCTAGGACTAAAACCAAGGACTATAAAATTCATTACAGAAAAGCTAGGAACAACACTAGAAGTCCTAATCCACAACATAAACAGTCTTCCCAGTATCCTGGAAAACCTACAACCAGGAGAAGATAACATAGATGAATGGGATCTTCTAAGACTCAAATCCCTATGCACATCCAAAAACTTCTCCAACAGGGTAAAAAGGGAAGCCACTGACTGGGAAAAAGTATTCGGTAATAACATATCAGATAAGGGATTTCTATCCAGAATTTATGAAATACTTGAGCACCACAACAAGATAAAGGTAAATAATCCAATAGAAAAATGGGCACAGGATATGAACAGGCACTTCACCAAAGACGACATTCAGATGGCTAACAAACACATGAAGAAATGCTCAAAATCCCTAGCCCTAAGAGAGATGCAAATTAAAACAACTATGAGATATCATTTCACCCCAGTCAAAATAGCAAAATTTAACAGAACAGCAAGCAACAAATGCTGGCGAGGTTGTGGAGAAACTGGAACCCTGATTCACTGTTGGTGGGAGTGTAAAATGGTACAACCCCTGTGGAAAGCAGTATGGCGCTTTCTCAAAAAGTTGTAAAGAGAGATACCATTTGACCCAGCAATTCCACTACTGGGAATATACCCTGAAGAGACCATAGCTGACATCCAAGCAGATATATGCACACCCATGTTTATTGCAGCTTTGTTCACAATAGCAAGGAGTTGGAAACAACCTAAGTGCCCATCAACAAACGAATGGCTAGAGAAGCTGTGGTATATTCGCACAATGGAATACTATGCTGCATTAAAAAACAAGGAACTCATGCAATGTTATTCAAAATGGTTGACTCTGGAGAACATTATGCTGAGTGAAATATCCCAGTCACAAAAGGACAAATATTACATGATGCCACTGTTGTAGAATGGGACTGTCCTTGGGGTTGGGGAGAGACTGAGTAAGATGGGTTCAATAATATATACTGCACTGAAACAGAGGAGGGAGAAAACTGTTTAAAAGAGATATATAAGTAGGTATTTCTGTCATCACAGGAGACTAGAGCGAGGGCTACATGGTGGAGGGGACCTGGGGGAGGGTTTGTAAAACAATGAAAGAATCTTTTCTTTTACTTTTCCATAATTTTTGACTCATGTACTTATAACTTGTTAGTCAAATTTGTGTCTTCTAGGTTGCAACACCCCCATGATACATCTTCAAGGATATGAACATGTACGGCCAAGCACAATCAATAAGAGTGCATCTAAATTCCAAAATCAATCTCCATAATAGTCTATGTGTTTCCTACTGCCAAAGGGGCCCTTTAGAGTAGTGAGAGAAGATCTTCACCCTGAAACCCACAGCATCCCTTTTCAGCAGGAAGTAGCTAAGAGAATACGCCATCCCCTTTTCCTTATGACACAGGGTGAAGTCTCTCTCAAGGAGGAGTGATAGGGAATGGCAAAGGACACACTGACAAAGAAGATTAATCAGAACTGGCTTTGACAAGCACTGTGGCATTTGGACAAGAACAAACTGGGAGGAGGGTAGAGAGAATAGTGCAACAATGAATGAATGGAAACCCAAAATCTCTGTAAATGTTTATGAAAATTAATAAAATATAATTATAGAAAAAAATATGTTATTTAATGAGAAGCTAGTAAACAGGGTGTCAGGAATCCATAGGAGATGCCATTTTGGAAGTTCAATCTGAATGGATCTCTTTTAGGTTTTTCTTTGACACAAGTCTTTGTTCTTACTCCATGAACAAAACCTGCAGTTATGTGGTGATTTCCCAGGAGTGCAAGGCCAGTAGCTGATCAGACCTCCTGGGATGGTTACCCATCACAAGCACCTTAACAGCCTCAGCTGCCTTCTCTGAAAACTAGTTAACAACTGTGCTATGTCAAAGAATCAAGATGAGTTAGCAAGTTACTTTGTGCAAAAACCCCTTAGCACAGTATCAGGAATGTAACAATGCTCTGTAAGTGTTAGTTATTACTGTTCCCTCCCTAAGTCCAATGCACTAAACAAACATTTCTTGGATGTTGGGATGTCATTATGAACATTCGAAATCACAATATACCACCACACAGTACTTCCCTCACATGGACTGCTTGTCCTTCCAGAAAATGGCCCCTGAAGGCTGGACACTTCCAGCCCTCACTCTGCAAATCCTCTCCGCCACTTCTTGATGCTAGTCAGCGTGTAACTAGGCCATGAGCCAGCTGACTGCTTCTGAAATGATCAGAAGGCCCTCTGAAGCAGGAGTGGGCCTGTTTGGGTGGGAGGCTGGCGACCTCCCTCTGAGTTACTCAAGACTGGATCAATGCACAGACCTGTATGCTGGGTTTCCTTAAACCTAGAAGCTGTTTCTCATTTATCCTTCTACCCCCAGAGCTTAGGAAAATACCTGGCCCATGCTAGTACAGTCAACACATTCTGCTCTGGGTTTATAGGGATTTTTAAAAAACGTAAATTTATTTTGTATGTGTAAGGGTCTTTTCCGTTAGTTTTTGTTTTTAAGATCATTTTGGGTGGTAAGTAATTGAACACCAGGTAAATGAAAAATAACTGTACACTGATTTCAAGAATAAGAATAAATATGTAGAGGAGGAAACACCTTTATTTATCTTTATGTAAAAGAAAACTAAAGAACAATAACTTAAAAACAGAGGATATATAGTGTCAACCATTTCTTCTTTAATGTACTGATGATGGTAGGGAAAATAAGGTTAGAACTGACTTGGCTGTAATCCTTTTTCTTGTGTATATTAATACCAAAAATCCACTAATAAAAGTGATATGTAAGAAAAAGGAAAGCAAATACTTAAGGATATACACATATCGTCAAGCAAGAGCACTTAGAGTAATTGGGTTAAGTAGCCAGAAGCATGTCTAACGAATACTTATTAAATATGTGTATTTACACTCCTGTCTCCCCAAAATTCAAGCTATCAAGAAAGATACATGTATAAGTAAGAAAAGGATTCTGTCCCATGAGGGAGCAGCACCCCTGTGCTTGGGACCAGACACCGTCAAGAGGCCTGAGCTGGTGCTGACCCGGACATCGCTTAGCTGTGTGTCCGTGTCTCTTAACCTCTCGAACCTCCACGTCCCTAAGTGAAAAATATGAGGGACTGGGCCGTGTGACTTTTAGAACTCTTTCTACAGTACGTATTCATGTCTGAAATGTCCATGCAAGTATCTTTAAAAGGAAATCATGGGGGGGGGGTGTTACAATGTATATTAAGTTGAAATACAGAGCCCTATATGATTATATGCAAAACGGTGGAAATTTTAAATGATTTTTTAACCTAATTAAAGGCACTGGCTTCACTTCAATGATCTGGAACTCCATCCATCTTCCACCTCATCTATCAAATCGTTGTATCAAAACAATCTTATGCAGATACTTCAAAATCCCTCACATTTCAGATATACATGCTTAACATCTGTCTCGAGAACTTCTCTAGGTAAACAGCACCATCTTTTCCTCTCTGGAGCCTGTTTGGAAAACAAGCACTAGTTTATTTGGAGGAGGCAGGTGTTTCCTTGCTAGTAAAATCATTTAGCCCAACCATTTCCTGATTGAACAGATTAGGACACTTCATCAAACAATGACATTGAGTTTTACGACCCATTATTTGTTTGATGTTCAAAGATCTTAAGAGCAGGCAGTGGCCGCTACAGATCAATAAAGACCATTAGGTAATGTGTGTGTGCTTAAATTAGGGACAGCATCTGATGCTAACTGCTTCTCGCACCTCAAAGACAAGCTGGAATGCTATGCTCCTGCCATGTTGCTTTCTTGTAAGCATGAGGAAATAATGTCATTCAGATGGCATTTCCTCCTCATGAACAGATAGAGATTCTGAACCAAGTTTTATACCGAAAGTTCTTGAAAGTGCACACCTGTAACTGTGTCTAACAAACAAAAGCTCTCTATACATGCCATTTCGCTATCCAGTTACACAGCCGAGGACTGGGGAAGATTTATGTCAGTTCTTTGAGCAGTCAAAAAGGATATTCCCCGAGGGGGGTACAAGACATCAAATCTTCAAGGCTTGAGATCACAGCAGGCTTCATAAAGGAAGAAGAACAGATGTCAATTTAAAAGGGGAGGATTATGGAGTTAATAGTAAAACAAAAAAAGTGACATGCAGAGCAAGAGTTTCTTCCAATATAAATAAGGCCAGAAGCATATGCAATAGGCGTACATGCGCTGCTTCTGCGTTTAAAGGTTGCTATGATTTTAAACAAGTCTTATTTACACTGAAAACAATTAGCACAGTTTAACGAGTTACTTTATTAGAAAGCGAGACCAACTGACACTGCATGAAAAGAGAGAAACTTCAGTTGTGAAGTCTCATAGAAAGAATCTGGGTCTGCTGCCTGAAGTGAAATAGAGTAAGAATGGTCAGAAGGTTACAGGATAAAGATGAATGGAGCTCTCATATTTCGTTTCAACTGTGTGTCCGTCAGGAAGAGGCAGTGATAGCAGAAACCCCCGTTTACTGAGTGACTAAGTTCTCAAAGATACGCACAGGAGAAAGACTGTCTTTCTAATTGTATCTCCCATCTAACAGTCCTCAGGAGGACTTTAAAAAGTATGAGACTGGGGTATATTCATTTACAAGGTACAAAGACAACATCTCTCGGGAAGAGGGCTGACCATAATTTAAGATGGAGCAGGAGCCAGGAAGGTCTGTCTAAAGGGCTAGAACGCTAGAGATCTGCCCAGAGAACCACACCCACAGGTTCCAGGTGTCCTATCCTGCAGAGAGAGAGACTAGGGATAGGCATGTTCTTCTTCTAGCAGATATTTCTCCTTCCTCTGTGAGCATTATTTTGCAGAAATGAGAAAGATGTAAGATCTTCTATTGAGCTGGATTAAAATGACAACAATAAAAAAAATCTAGAATAATTTTAAAGCACTCATAAGAAAGTCAACACATGACATTAGAGATACTCACAATGCTAGATAACAAGAGCATTCTTCTTCCTAGACATGAAATTTCTGAGGACCAAAGTCTACGTCCTACTCACCCTAAGCTCTCAGTCCCACCAACCTAAGGATTAGCAGGATACCTTTCCCAGTGTAGGCTTTTATCATCTGCTGAGTAGAATATGTGTGTAGGTAACAGGTGATATCACAAAGTGCTCTGACACTTTTGACATTAATCATGATTAATTTTAAACTGTACACAGTTTATTATTTTTAAAAGTTAATCTTTATCTCATTTTCCATTTTTGTGTGTGCACGTTTTACAAGTGAGCTCATTTTATGTTAGAATAATTACAGAAGCAAACCCAAAATATGTTGGTTTTTTATTTCCCACACATGTCATTTAATGAAATCATCCCCCTGCAGAGAGTTGGTGGCTGGGTGGGTCTAAACAAGCAACCATTCTATTGGCAGGTCTCTTACTCTCTCTGTCACTCTTCCACACGGCTTATTCCAAAGAACAGTGTTAAACCTGACATGTTACCATCATAAATCTGCTGTGCTCTGCAGTTTACAGTGTTTGGTGTTAAGACGGTGTCAGCAAAGCCCACGTTATTACTGATAACAGGGTGCCAATACGTGTTAGTAGAAATAATTTTCTAAATGACAAGAAGTAACTATTAAACCATTTTTTTAAAATAGTGGACAATTATGTCTGGTTTTTTTCTCTACTTGTTAAATACTAAACATTCTTATTGCACTTAGGATTCAACAGAAGACAAAATAATTCCCATCTATTGTATATTTTCAAACTAGCAGAAAGCATAAAATTTCTAAGTCTTACAAGAAGTTAACACAGTAACTCTAAAACCTGCTGTCACTGGGCACATTCCATCTCTCAGCATCCCGAAAAGGGTTTCTGAGGCTGAAATCTTTATGGAACTATACCACCACTTTTTCTTCCACAGGGTGGCTGGTGAATTCAAACTACCTACCTTTTCATTAGTAGGCAAGTACTTTAACCACTACGTCACCAAACCCAATACCATCAAGTCCCTTCTAGTACATAGCAACCCAAGGCTCTAGATCTTAATTGAAACAGATTGCCTTATGAGGGAGCAGCTAAATGAACTGGCACTACCAACCTTTTAACAGCTCACTGCTTAATCCACTATGAAATAAGGTCTAACATTAAATAAAACTTCACAGTAAGTGGTGCATACAAGTGTTTGTTTCTAATACTAGTAAAATTAATAACAAAAATAAACTGTTTCTGAATATGAACAACAAAGAAAATCTGATTACTGGTTAGCTGAAATAAACTTAGAAGTAAATGCGTGGATTTCTAAAAATCAGTCCTCCTTATTGTTTCTTTTTCTATTTAAAATATTTTGCAGGTTATCATAAGACATATTACCTTTTTTTCACAGGTATGTTTTAAATTCTTTTTCTCCATTTGAAATTTATCTTCTTGATCCTGGAAAATGAAAATTTTAAAAAAATGTTTCTTTTTATTACAACTAAATGTAATACTATAGGTAATACAACTGAACCTAACAAAATCAATACACTCACTGGCAAAGTTTGGCTCAAATTTTGAGTATTTACTAAGACCCCAATTGTCTAATTTTGCAAATCACAAGTAGAAAGGTAAATAGCTTTGTAATGTTGTTGTTGATTGCCATCGAGTCGAGCACGACTCCTAGTGGCCCTAGGAACAAAAGGCCTGGCACAAAATCTTAGCTGCCAAATGTTATTCCTCTCAATAGTAGCTAACTGGTCGTGGGACAGATACTTTCTTACCTTCAAGGTTAGGACACACAGCTAACTGGTCGTGGGACAGATACTTTCTTACCGTCAAGGTTAGGACACACTTTAAAAATAACCAAATGAGTAAATATGAAGATGATAAATGTCAAGTGTCACACACCCACATTTCTGATACTTTTTAACAAGAAAAAAGAAAGGGAGGATGAAAAACTGAGCAAGCGCAGAGAGAAAGAGATTATGAAAAATGGGCAGATAATACTGCAAAAGAGGGGAAACTGCTGTAAAACAATACTTCTGCATTTGGACAAAAATATTGCACACGTTGTATGCTGTTTTTTACAAACTGCACAATCCTCTTGGGCTTAGTTTCCTTCGAGCACCTTATGTGCAAGTGTGTTCTTTCTGTGACAGCGTCATATGGGAAAAACATAGTATACTGAAATGTGATTATGGATAAATCTAGTCTAAAAAATTAGAAAATAAAAATTATCTTTGTTCTCCCTACCCGTTAGCATCTACCTTTGTAAAGGAAAATAAATAAGATGAAAAATAATGTCACACACTAAAAGAATAAGAAGTGACTACTTGAATTTCTGAGGTCCTTTTCATTGACTCACATTTATACAAATAAAAAGAGAAGAGTTTTTGTGATTGTTCATCTGTGTAAAAGTACATAATTCACCTTTAGTTGCTGCATTCTTTGATATTCCGAATCCTGTAATTGCTCTTTTAATAAAGAGACAGTCTTTTCTAATTCTTGAATCAAAGCAGATGCCTAGGAAAGGTTAAGAACAAGAAGCAGAGTGTTGGTTTTTGGACTACTTTATAACATCTATATAGCTAAAGGGAAAATTTACCTTTTCCCCCTGAAAATTCAATTAGAATTAAAATTCTCTATAAGGGAAAAAAACCTCAAGCCCACAAGTCTCGAACTGACTATGATTCACATTACCCTCCCAACACATTTCCGAGACAACCAGTAACAGGTGCGCACTATCTCCTCATCCTCCATACTTCATCCGGTGAACCTGAACTGCCAGCCTTCCAGTGCACAACCCACCACGTAACCCACTAAGGCTCTTGGAAACGTCAGTAAATCTAAAGTTTAAAAGTCTTTTTAAAAAAACTATAAAAGTTAATCTCTTAAGATAAAATTATAAATAAAATTCTACACAGTATTCATTTAAAGCTATGATAATATAATATTAAGGTAGAAATAAGTGGATTTATGGAGAACTGCTTCAATTTTTAGACCAAATTTGCTGGAATACTGAATTCACAGACTATCAGATAATTGACTACTTTAAGACTGGAGGCATCAGACTCACTGTGGAGAAAGAACATAACTCAAATTATGTGGGTGCTGGAGAGTGGAGAGAGAGAGAGAGAGAGAGAGAGAGAGAGAGAGAGAGTGTATTTCTCCAAGAAAACCAAAGCAGAACCAAGATTTTAAAATATTACACAGTATTAGATAACTATTAACATAACTGTAAGTTTGCTCAGATTGTTGGGGTTTTTACTTTAAGAACACAGGTATATGAAATGGCTCACTTACTCTGGTAGAATTTAGTTTACTAAGATAATATTTTTGTTATCCTTATATATTTTAAGATCTTTAAAATACAAACTATGTACCCCACACATTCAGCATTTCAATTATCGATGCCAATAGGAATTTTTGGAGTTTCAGCTATCCTAAGAATAAGGCAAAGAAAAGACTAGGTTCAAATGTCACACACTTAGCTTCTACCTGACGGAGGGTGGTGAAATGCTGAGGAAGGAAATGACGCTGTGGGTGAAGACAGTCACCAGCATAGATATACCTTTGAAGCTGAAAGAGCTTGCTCCTGCTTCAGAAGGTTTATATCAGCATCAAATTTGGTTTGTAACAGCTTCATGTTTTGTTCATAATCATTTATAAGACGCTCCTTCTCTTTATGCAGTGTGTTACGCCTAAAACCAGTAAGCAAAAACAACAGATTTCCATTAATTTTAGAACCAATCTCTAAAACAGACTCTTAAGTCAATCAAAATCAAATGTCTTATTTGCCAGTGTATCAAGCAAGTCACAATCTACATTTTAATTAACATGTTGCCGCAAATGATGGCAAATGGGTATCTAAGCAGGGGTTGTCAATTTAAAAGTTGCAGCAACGTGTTAACTTGTAAATATTATGTTTCGAGGTCAACTGCACAAGCCCACTGCTACCAAGCAGACTGACTCCCACAGGACAGGTCAAGGCAGAACTGCTGTGCGGGGCTTTACAGGAGAAGACTGCGAAGTTCTTCCCTAGAGTAGCTAGTGGGTTCACACTATTAGCCTTTTGGTTAACTGGCTGCTGAGTGTATAATCACAGTGCCATCTGGGTGCCTTTCAAAAGCATAAAGTGGGATTAGTTTTGGCAAGCACCTCATTTACATAACTAACATTAGTATTTCACAGCCACCCAAGAGTTGACTTCTGACAGTACCTCGACTTGACTTCTTGTAATTCACTGCACGTTATCTGGTAACATCTCTCAAGTTCTATTTTCTCCTGAATTAATTTCTGTCTCTGTAAATTACTGTTCTCTACTTCTCCAGTCAGTTGCTGGACTCGGGCCTCCAACTCTTTGACCATCTGGTTCTAAAAGAAAAGATCATTGTTATAGCAATCTCTGATTGACGTTGTAACACTTATCAGTAAGTAGCCTAGTAAAAATATACAGTCCCTTGAGATAGGAATGAAGAAATAAATTTATCATAAATCATACCTCTCAATTAATCAGAACTTTAAAAACATAGTGTTTCCTATTATAAGAGTAAAACTATCATGGTTATATATTATTAGTCATTCAATGAATATTTACTGAAACTGGTATTATGCCAGGTTTCAGGGATGCAGCAATAAAGAAGGCAAAGTCCTTCTCCCCAGAATCCTTAGGCCTCTTTCAGGTAAGTACTCAGAGAATACCCAGCAGTGTTCTTTGTTCTTCACTTAAAAGTTTTCAAATGTTCTTAAATGATAAAAGTAATGCAGTAATAGTTTTAGACAAAAAAATCTGTAATTTCAATATTTTAATCTAATAACCACCATCACTCAAGCGGACAGAAAGGTTGCATTACAAAGTATAATACTTGTGCCAAGTATTTTCAGTTTTGCTTTATTTTATTCCTTTTCACCATTTCATCAAAATTTCCTTTCACCTCATCTCAGAGCCAACAGACAACATGATGATAAATGAAGAAAAGACTGAAGTTGTCAATGATTTCATTGTTCTTGGATCCACAATGCATGCCCCTGGTCACAGCAGTCAAGAAATCAAAATACGTGTTGCAAAGGGAAAATGTGCCATCAAAGACATCTTTAAAATGTTAAAGAGCAAGGGGATCCATGCCTGATCCAAACCGTGGTATTTTCAACTGACTCAGAAGCACCTGAAAATTGGGCAACGAATAACGAGGACAAAAGAATTTTCTTTTAAAAGAATCAATGCTTTTGAACTGTGGTACTGTCGAAGAGTACGGAATATACCATGAACTGCCAAAAGAACAAACGAATCTGTCCTGAAAGAAGTGTAACCAGGGTGCTCCTCAAAGGCAAAGAGAGGGGGACTTCGTCACACATACTCGGCACGTTATCCGAAGGGGCATTAAGTCGTGTGCCAGCGAAAGGGAGGGAGGACGACTTTCAACAAGGTGGACCGACAGGCACGACAGTAGTAGTGATTGTCACGGTGCTGCAGAATAAAGGCAGGGGTCCAATCTGCAGAACACAGGGCTTCTATCACTTCGAGTTGGCCTGAAGGAACTAACAACAACATTTCTTCTACGAGAAACATTAGAAATAAAGTTTTCCTTGGAGTATATTCCTAGTAGTAGAAATTGTAGGGTCATAGGGAGTTTCTTTGTTCAAATTTTTAAGGAAATGCAAAAATGTCTTCCAGAGTGGTAAGAGAGATTTGTATACCAATGTTCACAGTGACATTATTCACCACCACAAAAACATAATAGTCTATGTGTTTCCTACTGCCAAAGGGGCCCTTTAGAGTAGTGAGAGAAACCCTGAAACCCACAGCGTCCCTTTTCAGCAGGAAGTAGCTAAGAGAATACGCCATCCCCTTTTCCTTATGAATCAGGGTGAAGTCTCTCTCAGGGAGGAGTGATAGGGAATGGCAAGGGACACACTGACAAAGGAGATTAATCAGAACTGGCTTTGACAAGCACTGTGGCAATTGGACAATTAAAACAGACATTCAGATGGCGGGGAAGAAGAACAAACTGGGGAGGAGGGTGGAGAGAATGGTGCAGCAATGAAGGAATGAAAACCCAAAATCTCTGTAAATGTTCATTAAAACTAATAAAATTTAATAAAATAAAAAAAAACATGGAAACAGCACAAATGTTCAACCACAGCCAAATGGACTGAGAACTTCTGGTACATTCACATAACGGAATACTGTGTAGCGCTCAGGAGCGGCGATTTCTAAAAACATTACATAACTTGGGAGAGGGTGCAGAGTATTATGAGTGAACGAACACAGGCTCAAAGGACAAATACTGCACAAGATCATTATTGTTAAAATAGAAGGATAACTAGTAAAACAAGTATGGGAACTCAAGCAGGGGAGGGCTGAGGATGGGGAGGGTGAAACTACAGAGTTACACAGTTTGGTGGAGGTAGAGAGAGGGGAAAGGAAATGGGAAGGATCTGGGTAAAAAGGGAGGGTAATCAATATATAAATATATATATTATATATATAATATAAAAACTTTATATTTTATAAAATATAAAGCAGACAAAGCAAAGTATTATAATGAAATGGGCAAAGAACTGGAGTAAAAAAATCAAAAGGGTCGAAGTCACTCGGCATTTCTTAAGCTGAAGGAACTAAGTAACAAATTGTAGCCTTGCGTTGCAATATTTAAGAATGTTATGGGCAGAATACGGAATGATCAATGAAGCATTAAAAGAAGATGGAAGGAATAAACATAGTCACTGTACCAAAAAGAATTGGCCGACACAGAATAATTTCAAGGAACAACATACGATCAAGAAGCAATGGTGATGAAGGAGGAAGTTCAGGCTACTCTGAAGGACTTAGCAAAAATAAAGCCCCAGGAATTGATGGAATATCAATTGATATATTTCAACAAACATGCTGCCCCTGGATGTGCTCACCAGTTTGTGTCAAGGATTCTGGAGGACAACTACCTGACCAACTGACTGGAAGAGATCCATATTTCTTCTCAATCCAATAAAAAGATGACCTGATAGAGTATGGAAATTATCAAACAATATCATTCATATCACACACAAGCAAAATTCTACTGAAGATTATCCAGAAATGACTGGAAGAGTACACTGACAGAGAACTACCAGAAATACAAGCTAGGTTTAGAAGAGGCCATGGCACTAGAGACATTATTGCCAATGTCAGATGGATCTTGGTAGAAAGCAGAGAGTACCAGAGGGATAACTATCTGTGTTTCACTGATTATTTAAAGACATTTGTCTGTGTAGATAACAACAAATTGTGTTAATCTTAAGGAGAATGGGAATCTGAGAAAATCTGATAGTGCTTATGCAAAGCTCATACTTGGACCAGAAAGCAGTCCTCAGAACAGAGCAGGCAAATACTGCACAGTTCAAAATCAGGAAGGGAGTGCGTCAGGGATCCATCCTGTCTCAATACCTTCTCAATCTATATCTAGAACATATCATTCAGGAGGCTGGGCTTTATGAGGAGGAATGTGGCATCAGGACTGGAGGAAGACTGATCAGCAACCTATGTTATATAGATGCCACAACCTTGCTTGCTGAAACTGCGGAGAACCTGAAGCACTTGCTGCAGAATGTCAAAGACTGTAATCTTCAATATGAATTGAAGCTCAACCAAAAAAAAAAAAAAAAAAAAAAAAATTCTCTCATCATTGGGCCAACTAACAGCAGTATGATGGATGGAGAAGAGATTGAGGTTGTTAACAGTTACAGCTTGCTCGGCTCCAAAATCAACACTCTTGTCACCAGTAGTCAAGAAATTAAAAGACAAATTGCAGTTGGAAAATCTGCTTTTAGAGACCTCCAGAGTACTGAGAACCAACAATGTCAGTCTAGAGACTAAGGTGTGCCTGATTCAGACCATGGTCTTTGCAATTGCCTGCTATGCCTCAGAGAACAGGACAATGACTAATGATGACAGAAGAAGAATCAGTGTCTCTGAGTTCTGGTGCTAGAGAAGTCTTGAACATATCATAGACTGCTAACAAATCAAATGGATCTGTCTTGGAGAGGGTGAAATCAAGTTTCTCCTTGGAGGCTAAGATTTTGAAGCTTCCTCTCACATACTGTGGGCATGTGGCCAGAAGGGATTGATCCTCAGAGAAGGACATCATGCTCAGAAGAGTGAAGGAATGGTGCAGGAGAGGAAGACCCTGGATGAGACAGACTGATACTATAACTCAGGCAATTGGGGTAGGTGGTCAGAGTCAATGAGACTGGCTCAGGACAGGGCAAGCTTCAGAGTTGTTATACATGGGGTCACTATGAGTCACAGATGACTCAATGGCACATAACAACAACAACAACAACAACAATGTATGGGAATGATTGTATGAAACACAATGTGGATGAATAGTGTGAGACACAATGTATATAAACTTTGTAAACTAATCAATAAAAAATGAGGTTTAAAAATGAAATAATACTGGTTGTTGTTTTGATCTTTTTCTTCCACACCACCTCCTCATTTTCATTCTTCTGAGTCTTATTATTTGTGTTTTCTTATTTGAGTCCAAAAATACCCTCCTAGTATTTTTCAATTTGGGAGAAAGTCTTTTAATGAATAATATGTGTTCCTGAAATCTCACTTCTTTCATTGCCTTCTTGTTTGCACTTTTAGAGTTTTATCAGATAAATTAATATTGAAAGGTACACCTGGAAGCATTGCCTTTGCATTTCATGTCTTCAGTTGGTACATTCTGGTTCACTTTGCTTCTTATCAATGACTCCTCTGCTTTTAAAGTTGCTTTCAAAAGATAGTTTTCATTTCTTAATATATATTCAAAACTGTCCTCATTTCAAAATATTCATTACCTGGATGAATACATCTTTTATCTTCCAGTATTAAAATGGTAGAATAAGTAAGACTTGAATTTCTTTTCTTTCTCTTGGAAATTATTCTCTTCTACCAAAAGGAGAGAAGAAGGACCAGAAACAGAACTGCAATTTCCATCTTGCTCGATCCTCTCAGTCCACTTCTGCCTATAGCTGCAATGGGGTAGCCTGCAGCAGGCCACACGCCCAGTGAGAAGTGTAACACTCAGAGCCATTCAAAAGCATCCCTCTGAAGACAATGAAGAGCTCCGTGGACCAGGGAAAGTGAACATGCTGGAAGTGTTCACTGCTGAGCATCTTCCAATCCACAGTGGAGGAGGAGAGCAGGGAAACTGGACACCAAGCATCTAGGACTGGCAGATCCAAGATCCTGAGATCAGAGATGGACAAAGATGGCCAGTAACTCTACACAAGGACCAGCCTCCCTAAAACATTGCCAAATTCTTGGCATGACAGAGCAGGTGCCAAGAAACCAAGAAAAAGGCTGCTGAAAACCAGAGCTGCTATCAGTCCTATGACCTACTCAAAGG